CCGGCCGCACGCTACAGACAGAGCCCGACTCCCATGGACACACGCTACAGACAGGACCCGGCTCCCACGGACACACGCTACAGACAGGACCCAGCTCCCAGGGACACATGCTACAGACAGAACCCGGCTCACTGTTACAGACACACGCTACAGACAGGACCCGGCTCACTGTTACAGACACACGCTATAGACAGAGCCCGACTCCCACGGACACACGCTACAGACAGAACCCGGCTCACTGTTACAGACACATGTTACAGACAGGACCCGGCTCACTGTTACAGACACACGCTGCAGACAGGACCCAGCTCACTGGCTCGGGAAGGCCCCACGTAGGTGTGACGGGCCGAGCTCAGGGGGCGAGCAGGGGAGACGCTTCCACACGTATGTGCAGGCGTGACGGGTGTGGTGCTCACAGACCTGCAGGTGCGCGGAGCCTGGCCTCTGCACGCTAGAAACCCGCTGTGTGGAGGGCTGTGCCCTGATGTCCCTGGGGTCTCTGTACCCCGACAGTGCATTCTGAAAACCGAAGTGGCCAGAGTCAGCCCTGCCTTTCCCCGGGCTCCTGGCCCTCCGTGGCTCCCCGGTGCCAGCACCCGCCTTCTGTGGTCTGCTACACGGAATGCATGCCACCCTTCCATGTTCAGGACGCTGTATCCCCACTGCTCCCCCGGGCTGGCCTCACCCCTCCCAGACACCTCATGCCCCTGGCCCTCTCAGGACACAGAGCCTCTCGCTACTGTGAGGACGTGTCTCTCAAGAACGTGTGCTTCTTGTTCACGAGTGAGTCCCCTCCCGTCCCCGCTCCTCAGGATACAGCAGATGGGCTGGGGTCCACCCCTGCTGTAGGCAGGGCCCTGGGCTGGTGCACAGAGATGGGGCGCCGAGTCTGCAGCACGTCCAGCCCTCCCCGTCCGCAGTGACCCGGCGCTCTGGCCTTTATCTGGAGCCCCACAACCTGCCCTCTAGAGGGGTGGGACGGACAAGGGTTTGCAGAGCTGAGGCCGGGCCACCCTGTGATTCTGGATGTGACGCTGCGCTCCGGGCTGCAGGCTCACCAGCTGTAGAACGCAGACGGAGGGGTCCGTCTAACATTAAAACGGGCGCGGGGTGCCCCTGCCCCCTCGCGCTGCCCCAGACGCCCGCTGGGTCTCTGTAGCTGCACGGCTCTGATACAGGCCTGTCCGTCCTCCCACGCAGGGCTCACAGTACCTGGAGGGTTTCTTTGCAGGCAACTGCCATTCTATTTAGCTTGTCTTGATTTAAATGATCTGAAAAAACATTCGGTAATTTCAGGCAATAATCGGACGGTTCCGTTACCCTAGTAAACCAGCGAGTGGGGGCGGAGGGGACGGGCTGCCTCTGGTGTGCATCAGCTCTCCCTCCTTTGCCAGCGACTTTTACGGATGTGGTCACCACCTCCCCAGACTCACAGGGCTCAAACCACCCCAGGCTCAGTTGGTGCTGTCACCTCTGGGCTCGGAGGCAATCCAGCACCTCCCGGGAGCAGACCTTTCCTGAGACCCGGGGCTCCCTCACCCCAGGGCACTGCCCACTGCCCAGGCCCTGCATGTGGTCTGACCAGGCCACAGGCCAGTGGCAGGGCCTGATAGTGCCGTGTCACCCTTCTCGGCCAGCAGTGGATGGCGAGGACGGCTGGTCTCCCTGGGCGGAGTGGACCGAGTGCTCTGTCACCTGTGGGTCCGGAACCCAGCAGAGGGGCCGGTCGTGCGACGTCACCAGCAACGCCTGCCCGGGGCCGTCCATCCAGACTCGGGCCTGCAGCCTGGGCAGGTGTGACCCCCGCAGTGAGTTTCTGGGGCCCTGCCTCAGGGCAGAGGGGCAGAGGGCAGCTCCGGGTGGTCCGGGTCTGCAGGGGATAGGGCTGCTCCACAGTGTCTACAGGCTCCACACGGGGCAAGGGCTCCTGGGCTTTCCAGCGGGGGGGTGGGGGTGGGGACACTCAGGTCCCCAGCAGAGTGGGTCTCGGGGCTCACCTGCATGGGCCTTCTGAGCCCATGCTCCCCGGTCAGTCCGACAGGATGGTGGCTGGAGCCACTGGTCGCCCTGGTCCTCGTGCTCGGTGACCTGCGGCGGCGGCCACATCACCCGTATCCGGCTCTGTACCCGCCCGG